CCTCTCTCTCTCTCCTCTCTCCTCTCTCCTCTCTCTCTCTCTCTCTCTCTCTCTCTCTCTCTCTCTCTCTCTCACATCTTCCCTCTCAGCTGTCGATTACGCGAATTTAGAAGAAATAACGCATACGCGAGGTCTTAGACGCGTGACGCAATATGAATATTCGTATAGAAAAGGAAACAGGTCGACAACAAATTTCAATGTGATATTTCGACGAAAGGATATAAAAGTTGCTATTCAAAAACGATATGGTATATAAAAAAAGTTGTATAACTTTTTATAAGCAACAATAAACATTACATTTTTTTTATTACAACCAATTTATCAGTAAATTAAACTCTTGCAATATTTCTTTATAGAGAAAAAGAATTTTTTTAATTACTAGTTTAAGGGACAGACAAATTCTAGGTCAATTTTGATAATTGAAATACGCATAATTGTACACAATGCACGTATGCAAGCGTGTCGTATGCCAATATGTCGAATACAGTATCTATCAAGGCTGTTCGATGAAAGCATGAAAGCGGTCACGCGCCCTGCAATCGGTTGAACTCTATTGTACATTCAGCGGGAACGACGGCGAACGCTGAGAAAAAAATGCTGTTGAATCAACAGCATTAGCATCTAATTGGAAATAATTTTGTTAATTCAATGACACTATTAATGAGACGAAAATCTTGATTATTAAAACAAGAGCATGATATACTGTTTCATTAATAATGTCATTGAATTAATAAAATTATTTCTAATTAAACTATGCTGTTGATTCAACAGCATTTTTTTCTCAGTGTGCTAACTCGAATCAGCATATGTATATCCATTGCGTTAATTACGTTAAAACGCATAATCGTTTTAATCACAGTCAATCATTATTCTTGAGTTACAATCCTTTGTGGCTATATTTTATAATCGTAGATGTACATATCTATAATCTTATCTCGATTAAATATATTAAATATATTTTAAAATTCATTTTTTATTTAAAATTCATGAATGTACGTATGATAAGTATTCTATAAATTAAATTGCATGACTTTTTTTTACAAAAAGATTAAAATTATTATAGAAAACGATTACGACGAGATTACAACTTTGTTGGAATTTATATGTAAAATCATTTCAAATAATCAATTCCGAAATTAAAGTACAAACATTAAATCTAATAAAAAATAATTTTTAATGTTTCTTTGATTATTTTTATTCGTATGTTACGAATATCACGAATACGATATAATGAATTAATATATTAATGTTGAAAAATTATTTAACCTTTATTGTGTTATATAGTAAATGTGATAGATATGTTTTATAATGGAGAAAGAATTTCGGCAAAAAATTTCCATCAGAGCGACCATGGAATAATTTCACTAATGGCCTGCATCCTCATATATGATGGCCTCATATGTGATATCCTGAAGATTAATAGAAAAGAAGAAGAAACCTAATAGTACCGTCATGATACTATTATAGTTGGTTAATCTCTAGGAAAGAAGTTTTCGGGATTTTATTTTTATTTTTATCCTTGTTTCGCAATTTATTTTCTACAAAATACTTAATTTGTTAGACACTATAAATGATTTGTTACACGTGCTATTTATTTTTTTGAATAGAGAAAAATAGAAATTAATATAATATTGTTGCATTATTAATTTCTTAATATACGTAATATACACGACTTAAAATACACAATCCTCATGATGACAAACACTCGCGAAGTCGAGAGAATCAATCAGTCTCGCAGAAAAGCGACAAAAATAAATTTCGACATATTTAAGCATCGATTTAACATCTTCTTTTTATAAATGGATTAAAAATATATACATATCTTGATAGAGGAATCAGACAAATGACAAATGAATTTAACATGATATAAAATCATCTAAAATCTAAACTATAAAGCATAGATACATTATTTATAATGAAAAAATAGTTTTTTGTTAAATTTTAAAAAATTTTATAATTAAAAAGGAACATCAAAATTTTTATCTAAAAGATTTTTTCGTGCATTTCATAAAATAATTACTTATAAAAATATATATTCTTTTAAGACTTTTATACAGTATAATATTATATAGTATAATACTCTACAAAGTTGTTGTTAATTTCTTTCTAATGTTAATGAGAGTACACACTTTCACTTATATTCGTAAACAGGAGAGCCAGTGTTTATTTCTCGAAATCCCGTTTGCAAAGTTTATATGCTCTTATATAACTTAACGACTTTATTCGCGTGGGCATTAATTCATCCATTGGGAATGAAATTTATTTATTTATTTTGTGTAAATCCACGAAAAATTTAAATATGAAGCGCCCAGCAATAATAACCGATTAAACGTTTGTCCATAAGAGGATAAAAAAAAAAACGTAATCGAATACGTAATCTTACAGTGAAGGGTAAAATATGTGGGATAAAATAAATAAAGACGATTCGTAAAAAAAGTTTTTAATAAAAATTAATACGCTAATGGTTTATGCGGTAACATCGATACATTATATACATTATATAACGTGACTAGTCCTCATCTTGGGTCATCATCAACATTATCATTATCATTACGACATTTCTAAGGGTTAGTAAACGAGTGGTGACGGCACGACTTTGACGATGGGTTTCACTACCGCCAGGGGTTCCCGTCGAACTACGGCGTTAAATCCATTGATCGGGTCGGCCGTGTACTCGACGATCCGTCTGGTACCATCGGGTTCGATGAGGCTGTAGCCGCCGCTGACGATATCGCCATTCCTACTCTCGTGCTGACTTTTCGCATCTCCGGTCAGCGTATCCTGGACATCGTAAGCATACGAATACTGGGGATGAGGATCGTAATTTGTGTCAACCGCGACTTTGGCAATTGGAAGAGGTTGTGCAGCCAAGGGGGCTGGAATTGCTGATATAACTGAAGTAAGTGGGATAGCTGGAACGATTGCACCTCTGCATACCATAAGCACTGCTGCAGCCAAGATTATTAACTGTAATGTAATGTAAACATAATTACATGTAAAATATTATTTTTATTTTTATATTTATTATTACTAAAAAATATATAATGTCGTTTCTCAAATGTTTAAAAGCGAGTTTAGAAGATGTATATTTTATTAAATTATAACATTTGTATAATTTAGTATAAAAATTTGTTATTTCTATGTGTCCATTTGATCTTTTTATATTTTTTTTTGTTATTTTTTCATTTATAGTTATTTTTCATGTTGTAAACTACTACTTTTCTTAATAAAATATATACGGTACAGTTTTACTATCTAAAAATTTAACGAGATCAAGACAAATCTAAAAATAATTTTATTTTCAGCGATTAGAATATAAAAAATATTTACGCAAATTTTTTATTTTAAATTAATTGCTAAATATTAAACATTTTTGCAATATAAAGATCATATTTAAGTATTTTCTGCATATTTTAATTATTTTAATGGCATAACGAAACTATTTTCAGATCTGTATCTAATCAAAATTTCAAATCAATTAAGTCAATTAAGTAAAAGAAGGCTCGAGTATCCTCTTTTGATGAGCCTCTGATGTACCTTGCTGACCATTTTTCGCTCTGTATGATTCTGCGGATCGGCAAACGTGTCGGCAAACGAGACTGACGTTCGGACATGCGGTGACAAACCTATTTATAGGAGTGTCGGGATGATTGTCCGCTATCGGCCACATCCCTCATTGCATCGTAAATCAGCCTTCAAAGTACGCATAGTACGTGACGCGATGACAAAAGTTTCGCTCTCGATTTATGACTCGCCTCGTTACAGGTGCGCGATCGGACGAGGAAGAAAGTCGAGAGCGCGCCGAATTGGCCGATTTATTAAATTTCTTCGCGGCATCGCGCTTAATCGCGCTCGCCATTCACGGAATGTCAAGAAAATCGCGTGTTCGGGCTGCAGTCGCGGAATGTTAATTTTATCGTAAACGTAAACGCTAATTAGGCGAGTAAATACGTTACGCCCATCGATTTTTTCTTGTTCCACGAGTTCGAGTCTTCACTTTTTAATTTTTTTGTAAATTATATAGCAACGTGTGTGTAAAGTGTATACATATACGTATATTGTGTCGAAAGTGATGTAAAACCAATTTCGAGACATTGCAAATTTGAACGTGGTACGCGCGCGATTGCGGAACGTGTCACAATTTCAGCGGGAGATTTTCGAAAGCGGTTAAGGATAAAAAATGACGTGTATGATTTAACGCCGGGCATTTTTCGAGATCGCGAAGATATACGCAGCGTAAAGTGTGAGGAAATGAAATGAACGCGGCCAATAATTCTCCTATGCAACAGCGCTGATGCTTTCACCCTTGCGTAATCCCTTGCGTTTTTGGTATCGCGACTATAAATATAACGCTTCCGTCACGAGAAGGTGACAGACCGAGAATATTAAGTGTGAGAATGATTCATTTTCACAGAGTATATGTCGCTATGTGGGACTAGTGATATTATTGTCATTTTTAGGAATGAAATCAAATTTAATATGTAGTTAAAAATCCGAATTAACTCCAACAATCAAGTTTCATTTTGTGGGATTCGAGTAATATTCATAAGAAATATTTTATACATAAACTTGCGAAATAATCAATCTCATCTAATTATTTTCAAATTTTAGAATGAGTGCACTTACAGAATTCGAAATGTATTTATAAATAATTTTTACTGTAAAGAATAAAAATCTTATACAATACTTAGATTTTAAAAATAAACCATACAACGCAAAGTTCGGGATATAAGATGTCTTAAAGATATTTTATATCAAGATTTTAAACTTTATACTATCTGGGAAGTTGTCAAACTTAAAACCATCTCATATGATGTAAAACTTTAAATAATTTTTATTCTTTTATGTATATGTTTATTATATTTAATTTATTTAATTTCAACGATTGATAATCTAACGATTGTGATTATTATAGACTATAATAATACAAATATTTTTACTTGAAAGAACGTAAAATTTCTAATAAAGCGCTCATAAAATGTTGGAACATATTTAATCCCATCTCGAGAATCTATTTTTCGAAATGTTCATAGAGGATTTAAACCCATTTCATTCAGGTTCTAATCTACTAGTTGAAAGTATGGCTTTTATTTTCTGGAATAATTATAAAAAATTAAAAATTACGCAAGTTACTTGTAAAATATTAAATGTTACTCAATGCTACTTATTTACGAAAGATAAAAAATCTATCTTCTTCGAGATTATACATTTCAACAAGAAGTAGCATAGCAAATTCCATGAATTCCTAGAAAACATTTTGACTTGAAATCGTCGCTGAAATCAACAAATTAATATCTATTATGAAAAAAATGTCAACGTAGACATTTTTTATTTTATATTTCATAATTTTTCAAAATATGAAATTACCAAAAAAAGCATTCGTAAAGTCTTTTATTTCTAAATTCTTAAAGTTTCCGAGATTTCGCTTTTATATTATAAAGAATATGAGGCACTTCTCATTGGCGAACGAACGATAGATTACAGATTCGAACGTGAATTATTTCTGTCTCTTCTTTCATAAACAAAGATGAATCATTCGGTATGTATAATTAAGGAGAAGCACTGATCATGACCATGAAACATGTTCGTAAACCACTCGCTTACGTAATGAGATATCGTTGTGATGCTTCTTGTCCTTCCTGCCGCATCCTGGAAAAGAAAACTGTGTCTGGATTTATGTAATTAATGATATATACTATATATACACTACATAAAACGAACTGTACGTTAAACGTACAGTACAATGTACAATAGTCGAGAATTACGTATTCTACATTTTTTTATTTTTGTTCTTATGTTGAAAAACATAAATAGCGCGCGCGCGCGCAGCGTGCATTTATAATGTCTAGTGTTAATAAATAACAATTGAAAGAAACACAGCCAATTCCCTGGCAAACAGGATATCAAGTGCTAAATTTCTATTTGAAATAATTTCAAATAATTATATCACAGTGATATAATTATTTCAATTTATTTTATATAGAAATTTAGCATCTATGATCCTGCCGAGAAATTGGCTATGTTTCTCTCAGTTGTTATAAAAAGGTCTTTGTGCATCTCTAGTAGTTTTAACATTATTTTAGCACTAGTACATATGATATAAATGATACACTATGTTTGCATTGATATTTTATTTAGTGTGACATTTATTTAGATATAGATATGTAATTTATCTGTCTATATCTTGTTAATAAATTTCGCACGCATAAAAACATAACATATATTACATGGATCTCTCGCAGCACACACAATTCGTGCAATGAGTTTATTCCTTGTAACTGAATATTTTTTGCATCGTTCTGTTCCTCTATTCTGCTTCTTTTTTTTTCTAACGTCTAGTCAAACTTGTTTTACATATTTTAAGTGCAGAAAATATAGCGTAATGCAACTACAAAGAACAGACCCCTGCGTGCATTAATTCTGAATTAACAGATAAAATATTGACATTTTTTACTTCATAATAATGAGCATTGCATATTACGTACATAAGCTAATATACATAACTAATATACGTAATAAGCTAATATTAGGTAAAATGTGTTACAAAAACACATTTATCCACAAAAACACATTTATTTAATACTATTTACATCTACATCGCAAAAAAACTAAAAATTAATATATTATCTTAACTTAATATATACCTTGTTCAATTCGTTTATCTCAAAATACTGATTATTCAATGTCTAGCACAAAATTTGTGTCATCTATATACAATTTGTCAATTTTATTAAAAATCGTAAATCGATAAAATAATATGAATATATTACAAGTAAATAAATTAACATAATATATGTAAAAAAGATTTATTTTACATGTATTATCAACTGCTAAATCTATAGCTATGTCGAATAAAATTTTCATTTTCTTTACAGAAATTGTGTATGTATATATATATATATATATATATATATATACATGCTCAAAGTTATTCACATAATCGTTACATTATTTTGTAACATTCAAACATTAAAATAATTAAAAAACATGATGTAGTCATACAGTAATATTAATGCCCCTGTCAATCTGTTTGAATTAGCTTAATTCAACATATCAGATATTTAAATCAATGTTCACGAGCAATTTTCATATAAAATTCTCCTTATACACTTATAAAATATTGCAAGTTCAGACATACTTTTATATAAAGTTATCACAAGTAGTGTATTGCTACTTAAGATTAAATTCCCAGTGATAATTAGAAGAGAACAGAATATATTCTTCCTCTTATTTATGTGATCTTCTGACGTTTTCCTTTTGATAAATCCTGAAAAATTCAAATATATCCACCATTAATCACTTGTAAACTAAAATTATTATGCTAATCTAAAATTATTACACTAAATTATAAAATACTTTTCGATAGAAATAAATTATCTGTTTATAAATATTTTCATTCTACAAATTTATGCATAGAGCAGTATCTTATCTAGATTCTTATCTATAAAGAAACCTTGGAGCATGGAATTTATCTAAAGCCTTATCCGAACCACAAAAAACTATAATACCTCACTTTCTCCTTCAGGAACACGTTTATAAATTCCATTAGATTCTTTTGGTGGAGAATATAATCTAATCTTTTTATTCTCAAGAAAATTCACTTTATCCATCTGAAGGGATTCATTTCTCTTATTTGTTTTATTTGACCCTGCAGCTAAGCTGTTGCAATTAAACTGTCTACTGTTGTCTTGTCTATTGTTATCACTAAAAAAAAAACAAATTGAATATTAAAAAATTAGTATTTTATTAGTAAAAAAATTTTCTTTAATTAATTAAAAATGGATTCTTCTATCATGTCTGCTATATTCGACCTGTTAGCAATGTTATGCTGCCGTTGAGGTAAAGGCAATGCCATTCGATTATACATTTGCAACAGTTCACTTCTGCTCATTTTTTCAAATTCGTATGTTCTGATGCACCTCTATAATGAAAAAAGATAAAGATGCAATTAAAATATTATTAAATATACCTAAAATTCAAACAGCTACAGCTAGTTTTCTTTGAAATTGTTAAAATATCACTTGCAACATCAATTACTTGCAATATCGATGTGCACAATCACTGCAATCACTCTATTGCGCAATTTTGTAAACAATTTATTTGTTAATTTGTTTCACAGTTTATTTTTAAACTGGCACATAAAGTTTAATTCATAAATTTGAAGCATGTAAAGCAAAATTTTAACCACGTCTAACCTATGTCACTTGTGTTATCTATTAATAACATTTAGAATAAAATTCAAATAAATAATAACAATTATACTGAATAATTTTTTAACAGAAGTAGACATAAGGAGAAAGCGCGGGGAGGAGGGCCAAGAGACAGAAGAAAGTTTGTAAACAAACGCCTAACCTGACTTACCATTTTCAAGATTTCGCGTAGCTGGTAATCCGACAGCAATTCCGGATGCGTAAGATGGTAGGAGTCGGTAGGTATCCACGACATTTTTGCGTCCGCTTCCCTACCGCGTCAGAGAAAGAAACCACGGACAGTCTTGTGGACATCTCACACGAGCCTCGTAGTTCGATCCTGGCCGTTATCGGGCCGTCGTTATCACCGTCTCCGTTACTATCGGACGTGCGCCGTATGTCGTATTCCGTGCGCCGTACACCGTAAAACATATAGGAAGTTTGAGACATCGACATGGAATTTCCGATTAATCATCATGTATTCAATGATTCATGATTAATAATGATGACACAACAACAATACAACATTAATAATAATGTAATTTAAGACGGCAAGATATGTGTTGAACGAAAAACGTAAAATAAAACGCATAATTGGAATATTATTATATATAATTGGAATATTGGAGGTATGATTTCATGCAATTCACCAAAGTTAATGTTACGAAAATAAATCCAGAAGAATAAGCACGATAAAAACATAATGTCTGAAGAATTTATTATAATTAACAATAAATTAACAATGAATTATTAACTGGCGTATTACAATTTAAAAGAATTAAACATAAGACGGAAATGTACAGAGAATTTTTTATTCGTGCAACTTCTTGATATATATTATTCTCCTAATATCTTGTCTTTTTGAGATTTTGTCTTTTAGATTTCTTATGAAATTCTAAATATCGCGATTCTCGGAATTAAAATCATGTTTTTCAATTATATTCCCTTGATATGTAGCCGAAGATTTTGATTTTTACAGTTCGAAATTTTAGAAATCGCGCAATTAGTATCATCCTCTTTAGCTGATTATATTTTTTTGATACTTTACCCATTTTTACTTAAAATTTTTTTCGATAATTTTTTTCGATATCGTTAATTGAATAGATTTATAATTACAATCAATTTTATCAAGCTTAGACAATATTATCAATCTTGGGTATAATTAAAAAAATTTTAACTGTTAAAAATTAATTAAATATCAAGATATAATTAAACACGGGCAAGATCTATTACATTCTGAACTCGCAACCCATACAGAACAAATTTTGCAGTTATATTACAACACATTTCTGCAATATTGTAATATTACAGCAATATTATTACAATATAGCTATAAAAAAAGACACGATTTCTGTTCTTTTCAGTTGATTTTCTCGCATGGTTCATCTTTCACTTTATTTCTCATTAGAAAAAAAGAAAAGGTAAATAGTGCAAGAAGTGGTACTCAACTAAAAAGAATAGTCTCTTTTAACTGAGCTAGTTGTATACTTGTTGTACTTAGAATGAAACAAATATATGATTTGATGCTTGGTGAAAGAGAGAAAGAAAGTTTTAGTGCAGAGTTAAAAATTAGGTTTGTTGTCTGTTTCTTGCATTGGGTTAGGCATTAAAACTTTTTATCTCGCTTTTGTGAAACTTTAAATACATATCTCTTTCATTTTAAGCACAACGAGGGCTGCTACTTTAGCTACCAAAGACGGACCAAACGTAAATTTACGTTCATCATACAACACGTGCTCACAGAGCTATGCGCATATTTAAAAATGGCGCTCTTTAGTCGTGTTAATTCGAATGTTTTCTCATTGTTAAGTCATTGTTATTACAAAAAGTATACAATGGGCACAGGTAGATTAAGATTACGTGGTCGTACATCGATGTTGTTAAACGTGCAATACAAGAGCAGTACGAGGAGTAAGTCGAAACAATTTCAACGTATAACCTATAAATCCGCAAATAATATTATTTAGCTCTTTTTTCCCTCAATAATTATTTTGAATGCAGCGTGA